TAATCTTAGGGACTGCCCCCCCTTATGGTAATATGAAAAAGGAAAACCCCAAATTCAGTATGCTGCACAATGATATAGGCCCCCGCTTGAGAAAGCCGTTTAGGTGGCCAAATTCGTGGCTGAATTGTTCACACTTTCGTTCCACAGGTTGTAATGAGTATTCACTGTTTTCCATACAAGAATCTTACGGATGGCCCCCTTTTTGGTAAAATAAAAAGGAAACCCCCAAGTTGAGTATGCTGCACAATAATGTAGCCCCCCACTTTCTGCACAATAATATAGCCCCCAGCTTGAGCCAGCCGTTTAGAGCCAGCCGTCACTGGTGCAATTGTTTGTGCTAAGGTAGCATGAACCTAGCCATTTTTAACCCAGGACCTTGCTTTCTGAACATGTACATAGCTAGCTTCACTTGGCCCAGCCCTTGGCACGTTGTGCCTTTAGCCTGTGAGCACTTTCATTTGGAGTGAGCGAGCTCCACAGGTCCTCTTTCCTTTTTCTCATGTCACGCTACCTGAAAGATAGGAATCAATGTGTAGGACTTTCATTCGAACTTTCTTTACTGTAGTGGATGATGGAAAAACTTCCAATTACAACCTGGCGGCTGGATATCTGTGGATATATCTCAAGGCTGTTGCCATTTATAGAGGAAAGAAAAAAGGAAAATAAAATGGTACACTGGTAGAGTGACGAAGGTTCATTAGGTAAGAAAAAAAAGTGTACTTCCACATTGAACCCCCGCCCCCACCCCCCCCTCCACACTCTGTGGAAGTTCATCCCAGCGGATCCCACTACTTTGCAAGCAAATGGAAATCTGACGCTATGATTTGCCATATGCCAGGCAGATAAGTACCATACTTTCCCCTCGGGACATTCATTATCAGTTGCCATTGGCGCCATCCTCATTCCCCTCCCCCTTCATCTCATCCTCCTTTTCATCCATAATCACCTCCTCCACCCTCCTCCTCCTCAGGCGGATGAAATTTGGTGTGCCCTATTTCACGGGAAGATAGGTAGATAGATGGATAGGTAGATAGATAGATAGGGAGAGAGAAAGCGAGTGGCAAGCTGCGGCTACACAGTCTGTCAGGGAGGGCATAGGTAATCAAGAGTTCAGGCAACCACAATAGTTCAAGTCAGCAAATCGACGCTCAAGAATCGCGACAAAAAGCTCAGAATGTGAAAAGACTCAAAGAGTTCTGACCATGCATCATTCACTCCTCTGCGTAGCTCCCAAACTCGTGAAAACTATAGCTGCTTCTCCCAACATCGAGGCAAAGTAATATCCTTCAACTAGTTTCGTCCGTCCACTATCTGACTCATCAGGAAGGTGCACTCCTCACGAGTATTTCTGCAAGAAGAGAGACTGATAGCCTTGCCTCCCCGCATTATATCTTCTACGTCTACCTCCGGATCGGAACGGAAAACCCTGTTCACTCAAAGATTATGCCTGCCTATTCGCCATGAATCTGTTCGCCAAAATGGTTGGGTGCATCCTTCTAGTCTCCTCAGTTGCTCTTGTGTCGTCAAATAGCCGGGTGCATCCTTCTAATCTCCTCAGTTACTCTTGTGGGAGTGGCCGTGTATGGGTTCATGAAGACCAAAATTCAAGTTCATGGGTAGCTGTCCTAAAATTGAAAAATAAATGAAAATCCACGTATCCATAAAAGGAGAAAAATAAATGAGAAACTTCGCACCTACGTCCGCAAGAAAACAAGACTGAAAATTAATGAGGAAATTAATAAATGAGAAATTTCGCACCTGCTTCTGCAAGAAAATGAAACAAGTGAGAAAATTTTGCAGATGCGTCCGCAAGGGGAGAAAATAATGAAGCTTGAGAGTAAGTAAAAAGCTCCGCTGAATTAACCAAAAAAGAAAATGGGTGCTTCCGGTCCTCCGTCTATGTGACCAGTGTCCTAGATAGTATCCCTATCCCATGTGTGTCCTCTGACACTTCGTCAGCCAGGTTCTGGAGTTTCCTGTGGCATTCTGGTGTCTGTTTGGTGAAAAAGTTGTTGTTCTGTCTGTTGGACAGCGACGTAGCCAAGACATCCCGGTTTCGAGGCCTGTCTGTGATCACCCAGTATTTCGAAGAGGCAAAATAGTTGGCATGGTAGCTGGTCGCCCGTAACCTTGGCTAACTTAGCCAAGGCCTCGAGAGAGACCTCCAGGGTGTATCCCCGGAGGTAGCCCTCCACAAGTGCGTATGCTATCGCACTAATGCTTAATGCTGATGTGGTCGCAAAGTGCCAGAGTCTCTTCAGTGTGGCGTGCAGAACAGTCTTCTTTGTTTCCGTACTTGAGTAACTATCGAAATCCTGCATAGTCTGATATCGTAAGCTCCCTGTGTCCCGTAGTGTTGTCATGTTAGATTTCCGAATGAGCTTGACGCTGCTGTCATAACCGGTGTCAAACATTTTCACGACGCCTTCGGCCTTGACCCAAGATCCCACTTCGTGGTTGCATTTGACGATGATGGAGACATCATCCACCATCCGCCATCCATGTAAGAGTTTCCTGTCCAATCCAAGCGAAGTTAGAAACTTGATTTCCGCCATTACACATGTAATAGTGGCCAGGACGGGGCTCATGGTTTTTCCCATTGGCATCCTCACGACCTGCCTCATGATCTTGTCCCCGCAAATCATAAACGCATGTTCGAGGTGGCCAGAATGTATTCGAAGGTCAGAGATGCGTAGCCTGCTTCTTTAGGTGTGTCTTCGACATATTGCAAGTCTTCTCCCTGAGTGTAACCGTCACTTGTCTCCAACCATCGTTCTCAAATCTGCGTAGTAACTGGAATACAACGTCCAAAACTGTTGCGTGCGGTATTGAGGAAAACATTTCCTTGATATTGTATCAGCGATTCAGCGTCCAACTACCACACTGCGGCCACTTTGCATCAATGCCTGGTTGGCACGCTTGAGTTCCTGCATCAGCGTGTGTGCGGAGTTTAAGGTGGAAGTTGGAACGTGCAGGTAGGTGTGTCACTAAGCAATATAGTGCTTTTGTGCATCTCAGTTGTCCGGCCCCTGCCGGATCTCCACAAGCAGCGGCAATCGACCGCCATCGCAGCATGTCCTTATCTTTTGGTATTGTATACGCCTTTCCTAATCGTCCATCTGCCTTCCAACCTCCTACGTTCGCCAGTTCTTCTTCCACATAGTGCCTTTTGCACATCTTGATCGCTTCCTACTCGGTCTTGTCTATGGTTTCATAGTCCGCATTCCAAACAAAAGTTTTTCCAAACCCATGTCTGTATAAAACCGGACAGATGATTCGTATGTCCCCACTGTTGCAGTCCTCCAATCCATGCTCCAACTTGCTCGTCAGTCCATGTAGTTACTGTTTCCTTTCGTCGTTGGAAACAGAGGTTCACATCCAGTTCTCCACAATCTTTCCCTCTCAGATGTGGTGTTGCCGTCAGGATACTATCTCGTAACACATTCGCCCCAGTACTCAGTACTATTCACACTACATCTTGTAACATTCTTAGTATTGCAGATGAAAGTTGGTGCGTACGGCCCGTCCGCCATCCTGGTCAGCACGTGACCTTCGTGCTTATGGAGCTTAAAATTGTTACATGAGCAGACTACCTCCTGAGTATGTGCGTAGCGCTTATGATTGTGAATGATCTCAGCTACGGTTTTATTTCTACTAGGCGATTTGTGTTTTCTTTTTGATGAAGTAGTGATTGCCATATCCGAGACTTTCTGTTCTACAACCTACTATGTAACCTTCCTAACTATTGTCTTGCTTACAAGTGAACTTTATGGATACTTCAGAATTATCTTCCTCCTAACACTCACTCCAATCTTCCGTTTGATAACCCGATCTAGCTTGATTTTTAGCGAATTTCTAGTCCATTTCTTTCCAAACAGTTTGCCGTTGTTTGGTTCTTTCCAACCAGCTTCGGTGTACCCAATCTCGCTAGCGTCATTGCCGCTCTTGGTTGTCTAAGTATTTGTCGAACCAAGATCTTGTTGCATTCCGTTGCTGTCGCGGTCCTGGTGATCTTCAAGAAGGTAATCGCTCCTCCCAGTTGACACTCCTCCGCTTGCCTTCGCTCCATCCTTTCACCATGAATCTTAACGATCGTCGCACCAAATCTGCCTCGTATAACCCTCCAGCAATCCGCGCAGTGTTGTCCGCCAATAAATACGACCTACCATTAGGCCGCAACTTTCATATAGTGCTCTTCCAACCTGTTCAGCAATGAGGTGCATGCTCCTTTAGTTTCGAAGTTCACCACGGTCTTGCCCTCCGTCTTCTTGCTTCTTCTCTTGCGCTCTCTTTTTTCTCTTCTTCTCCTGCTGTTATTCTTTTGCCGTTTTTTTGCTCCAAGTGTATTCAAACTCGGTGATAGGTCCCTGATGAGATGTCGCTCAAAGGTGAAGTCATCCTCTTCAGTGGTGTGCTGAATTGGTATGACCATGAAGTTATCAGGACCCTGCTTCCTCATCCATCGATAGAGAAGCGGAGATTTACCGAGGACTTCCGAGTTGACAACGATAGTGTGTTGTCTCCATCTGTGTATGATCATTTGTACAACGTAAACCGGCTTAGCCCAGGGACTGACGATAATATAGGTACCGCCCGTCCGCAGGTCCAGTATGTCTTCATCCAACTGCGTCTTGTCTAAGTATTTCATCAGCCCACTAATTTCACCTCTCAGTCCCAATAGAATTATGGTAGTGGACATGCATCTCTCGACTTTTGCCAACTTTGTGACTCCTTGTAATAATGTGCATCTTGAGAGCTTCCCACAACTCCTCAGAGGTGGGGGGCATAGATAGTCAATCCGGCGCTTGCCCTGCTTGCATGCCCGCAGATTGTAAGATGACACGTGGTGTCACCGTACCCTTCGATTCCCCGTCGGTGTTCCTGTCGATCTTCGTTTGCTGTGTAGGTAGTTCCTCCGCCGCTCCGCTTTCTTCCTCCTCCTGAAGTTTCAACTTCTGCTTACTTTCCTTGGTATTGAGCGGAGTACTGAAGAAACCCTCATAAGCATGGTCCGTTTATCTTTTCACCAGTTCACCGATCATATCGTCCTTTCTTTTTGACTAGATTTCTTCGACAGTTCTTTCATCACAGTGAGCGTGTATTCCACCATGCCTTGCTGTGAGCATCCCGCAGCTATGCCTTTAAACTCTCCAGACAATGGTGTCTTTGGCTCATGTAGTGTACCCATCGTTACATCGCTTCTCTTCTCCAAACACTCTTCTCGTTCATAAGTTGATTTCACATTGACCTCCTTTTTCTTCTTCTCTTTCACCTGCTTCTTGTTCGTGGATGCCTCCAGCTTCTTTTCTTCTCTGATTGTTCTCACCAGCCTCATAGCTTCGCCATTTGTGTCCTCACTTGATTCCCCCGATGTCGTGCTTTCTTCTTCACTCGTCTCCGTTGTGCTAGAGTCGTAGCTTTGTCGCATGTTCTTCCTTTTCGTCTGATGTCTTCTTGAAGTTTTTCTTATCTTCTTTTGTCCTTTCCCGATCCTCGTGCTCGCAGGTGAGACCTTCGGACTCGGCTGCTTCGGGCTCCTCTTCGGACTCGCCTCCTGCTTTTGTTGTCACCATTTGTCCGCAATGCTTGCCCCAAGTTGCAATCTCATTTCTTCAGTTCGTCTCACAATAACCAACTCCCTCTTCTTTTTTTCTTCCTCCTTCCTGCGTTCTTGTTCTGCCTTTGCCTTCCTTTCCCGCTCATTTTCTTTCCCCTTCATCCTCTCTTGGACGAACGTTCTCACTTCTTGCTGATTAAACCTTCCCTTTCGTGACCAGCAGTCTCTTGCGATGTGACCCGATTTCCCGCATTCGTATCATATCGTTCCACCTGGTCTATTTCCACCTCTGTTGCTGTTGAGTCCCCTTGAATTTCCGTTGTTCATATTATTCCTGTTTCCATATTCTTTACCTAGCTATCTTGTAATTGCTTTAGATTCTACCGATGGAGTCTGGCTGAATCTATAGTTATTGTGGTTCTTCCCGCTGTTCTTCTCTCCTGGCTATCCTCTACTCGCGTTGCATTCTATGGCCACCGTAAAGCTTAGAGAACTCGGGTTACCATACTCCCAAGAGTGGCCGGTTGCGCCTACACAGTCTGTCAGGGAGGGGATAGGTAACCAAGAGTTCAGGCATCCACAAGAGTTCAAGTCAATATATTGACGCTCAAGAGTCATGACAAAATGCTCAGAAAGTGAAAAGACTCAAAAAGTTCCGAGTCCTCCGACCATGCATCATTCACTCCACTGCATAGCTCCAAAACTCATGAAAACCATAGCTGCTTCTCCCAACATCGAGGCAAAGTAGTATCCTTCAACTAGTTTTGTCCGTCCACTATCGGACTCATCAGGAAGGTGCACTCCTCACGAGTACTTCTGCCAGAAGAGAGACTGATAGTCTTGCCTCCCTGCATTATATCTCCTATGTCTACCTCCGAATCGGAACGGAAAACTCTGTTCACTCAAAGATTATGCCTGCCTATTCGCCATGAATCTGTTCGTCAAAATAGCCGGGTGCATCCTTCTAATCTCTTTAGTTTCTCTTTTGAGATTGGCCTTGTACGGGTTCATGAAGACCAAAACTCGAAGTTCATGTGTAGCTGTTCTAAAATTGAAAAATAAATGAAAATCCCGCACTTATTCGTAAAAGGAGAAAAATAAATGAGAAACTTCGCACCTACGTCCGCAAGAAAACGAGACCGAAAATAAATAAGGAAATTAATATATGAGAAATTATGCACCTGCTTCCGGAAGAAAATAAAACAAGTGAGAACATGAATGAGAAAATTCCGCACATGCATCCACAGGGGGATAAAATAATGAAGCTTGAGAATAAGTAAGCAAAAAGCTCCGCTGATATACCCAAAAAAGAAAATGGGTGCTTTCGGTCCTCCGTCTACGTGACCAGTGTCCTAGATAGTATCCCTATCCCATGTGTGTCCTTGGACACTTCGTCAGCCAGGTTCTGGAGTTTACCGTGGCATTCCAGTGTCTATTTGGTGAAAATGAAGATCTGCCACGTTGAAGATGAACCAGCAACTCTAAAGAGAACAGCAACTCGATGAAGATGAACAGCACTCTAAAGATCTGCACCATACATGCAAGCACACGTCGTGCGGGCGGTTCCCTACGTGCGGCGCACGCGCCCAACCCATCCCGTGCGGCGCACGACGTGTGCGGAGAACGACCCGTCACCCCCCTCAGAAAAGAAAAAAAGGCCGTGGTTGAAACGGTGCTTTTGAGGCCCCCCACCAAAATTATGAGCAAGATGAAAAAAAAATATACAGGAGTACTACCTCACCTTGCTCCTCCTCCCCTTCCTCATCCTCCATGTCTCCTCCTCCCTTCTCCTTTTCGTCTCCTCCTCCTCCTCCTCCTGTTCATCCTCCTCCTCCTGCCCTTCCTCATCCTCCTTGTCTCCTCGTCGTACTTCCTCATCTTCCATGCCTCCTCGTGTCCTCCCCTTCCTCGCCGTCCATGTTTCCTCCTCCTCCCACTCGTCCTCCTCCTCCTGCCCTTCCTCTTTTCCCTCCGTCCATCTCTTATCTCGACTCCTCCCCCTCGTCGTCCTCGCTATCCTCGTCGTCCTTCTCGTCCACATCCTCTTCCTCCTCTCCATATCCCCCTCTCCTTGCCATATCCCATCTTCCTGTCATACGCCCCTGTTCCCCCTCCCAAAAAGAGATAAAATAATAAAATTAAAAATTAAAAAACCTGCACGATTCCGCACAGGCACCCCCCGCACGGAGCTCCGCACGAATGTGCGGCTCGTGCGGTTGCAAGTATGATCTGCACCACTCTAAAGAAGAACAGCAACTCGATGAAGATGAAGATCTGCCACGTTGAAGAAGAACCGTTGAAAGTGCAGCTTCGGTGGCAGCTGACCAAACCCCAACAAGCACGCAAATATGAGGAAGTGCTCATCAGCACTTGGGCACCGAGCCCAGAGGTGTCACCAATGGAGCTGGACGGCCCCAGCTATGGCCGCCAGCAGCATGTGGAGAAGATGCCCTGCGTACATGCCCACAATAGCGCAACAGGGAAGTAACGTGACCTTCACCCAGACCGTGAGAAGAAAAGCAACGAAAAGAACCCCAAATTCCTCGGCCTCTGCCTACTTCTACCGGACTTCCCTAGACCTACAACACAGCAGCCACCTACAGATCTATCTGACTGTCCAAACAGCAAACATCTACGGTCAAACAGTCAAGATCTACCTACATGCATCTATATGGAAACCTAGACTAAGGGGACTCAAGGTTAGGACACACAAAAGAAAGACCTACGGCCGTACCAGTTTCCAGAAGGGCAGAAAAGGACAAAACAACAAGGCTGAAAGGCCTAAGACTACGAAGTAGAAACTACTAGCTACAGGTTCAAGGTTCAAGCCCAGTAAGGCTAAAAAACAGTCAAACACCACAAACACACTACAGGTCATGGGATCAAGTCCCGGGGTGACTTCAACAACTGCAGAAAACGACAAAGCAGCAAAGCCTAAGGGTCTAAGACTGCCAGATAGAGACTACAGGTCTAAGGATCAAGACCAGTAGGGCTCAAAGCTAACAAACCAAACGTACAAATTACAGGTCACGGGATCAAGTCCCACAAGGCCCAAACCAAGGAAACAGCAAACACAGTTAGTGTACTGTCCCACTGATACTGCGATTTATTGCATAGCCGAGACGTCCCGGTTTCGAGGCCTGTCTGTGATCACCTAGTATTTCGAAGAGGCAAAATAGTTGGCATAGTAGCTGGTCGCCCAGAACCTTGGCTAACTTAGCGATGGCCCAGAGAGAGAGAGAGAGAGAGAGAGAGAGAGGGAGAGAGAGAGAGAGAGTTATCTCGCAGCCTCTCGGCCTCCCCTCCCACCATCTCTTCCTCCCCTGTGGCCTTTAGTATGACCCACCCGACATAGCACCACCAAACCCACCTAGTATCATTGAGGCCACATAATACCACCCTGCCCAAATATCACCACCCAGTCCAGATAATATGAACCACCCCACATAGTATTGCCCAACCCACATCCCACATAGTACTGTGCGGACCACATGGTATGACCCACCTCATGCGCTAGGACCCAACCCGCAAAGTATCACCCACGCCACATAATACCACGAAGTAGCATATCCGTGCCTAGGGTAGAGTTGTGCCGAAGTAAGTGTTTTTTTTTCGTGGCTGTGTGTGTTAGTACCATCCAGTCTGCATAGCATGACCCACCCCACATGGTACCGCCTAGTCCACATGTTACCACCCAGCTCACGTAGTATCATCACCCACACCACATGATGCCGCCTTGCCGTGCCCAAGGGCCGAGTTGTGCATAGGTTTGGCCTTTTTTCTGTTTAGTGGTCTGATGAGGAGTCAGTCAGTCCACATACGTGTGGGATATAGACTATGGAGAGGCCCATGGCCACATATCAGGAGGTGGACTTCATTTTTTTTTTGGGTGTGCGTCCTGTTTTCTGCTCTTTTTGCTTGGCTGCATAAATGGCAAAGGAGGGTCGGTAGGAGGAGGACACAGCGCAAAGGGAGGAGAAGAAGTATGTGGCGGAGGAGAAGGCCAGGAGGAGATACGGGAGAGCAGCCCAGAGAGGAGGTGGCAGAGAACAGGGAGGAGGAGGAGGAGGTGGTGGAGGAACCAGGGGCAGAAGGAGGAGCAGGTGTGGGAGCAGGACGGCGAGAGCGTGGCAGAGAACGGAGGAAGGAGGAGGAGCCGGTGCATGCCAAGGGCATGGTGGCGGGGGACATCTGCTTGTTATTAATATGGAAAATAATATGTGAGGTATCGACTCCGATTTGCTAACTAGTAAAGCACAGGGCGCAGCGCTACCGGTAGCGCTGCGCCCTAGGGCACAGAATGAGGTGCACAGTCCGAGCTGGTTGGTGGCCCTAAGCGCGATGGCATGTTGGTACGGTGCGGCGTTGGAAGTTGGGGAAGGGTTGGATGCAACCGGGATGGCATCAGTGCGTTGAGGAGGGTGGTTTGGGCGGCGCTGGTTGTTTGGAGATGGTGAGTTATGGGGCGGCTACATGACGGCGAGGTAAGTATGGCATCTGGTGGGGCCCTCTGCACATCTCTCTTACATACTCCAACATTGGCAAGGAAGCAAGCTCGGTTCGTAACTCCTTTCCTTCCGCCCCTCACTTTTCTCATTCTGAGCGGCGTTTGCAGCACCTTTGTTGCTTGAACCCTTCATGGAACTCGTCGGCGGGTTCGGCGAGGACGCAATATGACACCCTCCGCTTCGTGTTTTGAGGTGGGCGGTGCCCAGTTGGTGCCTTCGTAGGCTGGCAAAAGAGTCGTTGCTAGGGTTTGACTAGCACAGTGGCCAGCAGGGGAGGGGAGATGTTGTTCCTCTCTTACGAAGGTGGTGGGAGGTGAGTTTGGGCGGAAGGAGGAGAGTTGCATCATGTGGCGACCAGGGCGACGAAGTTGAAGAAGGCGATGGGGGTGGGAGATTTTCTGAAGAATCGGCGATGGACGTTATCAGGATCTTGATTGAGCGGCTGTCAGTATCATTCACTTGGAGGTGGTGTGTTTAAGTTTCACGAATCTGGAGGCCGCCCGTTCACAGTTGAAGAGAGGATAATGCGTGTTTCTCAATTTTTTAGGAAAGGGGTCAAGATCTGTTTGATAGGCAATAGTCCTCGCCCCACTATCTCAAAAGATTCTGTGGATTAGATCATGGTTCCTAATTTATTCTTGAGGATGACGAGTCTGTAGGCTTGAGTAAGCTTGAGTAGGTCGATTGCTATGTTCTCTCCTGAATTTTCTGTTTGCTAAATTCCTAATCAACTTCGAATTTCTTCCAATAGTATTTCGCTGCTTTTTTGAATTTTCAATTCCTAAGTGGTTGTTCTTGATCCTTGACTTCGTTTTTCCAATTCTGCTCAATGATATCTCTCGACTCTTGATTCGCAATGACTTCATAATCAGTAATCCTTAAATGATAATTACAATAGTATGTTCCTGATTCTGGATTGTGAAAGTATGTTACTAAATCCTGTTCCCAATCTTGAAATCCCTGATTGTTCGATGAAAACTCTGTTTTCGACGCATGGAAATTGAATGTTCTGATTGATGTGTGGAGTCTGAAACCCTAAATTCACAAGTGTTCTAGTACCTTTTTTCGCACTAGTTGTGGAGAGACTCACTCGGATTGGGTACTGGGGTTCTTTTCTTTAACTTTCCCCTCCATGTTGGGGTCGCATCGGCAGGGGTGAGTTAACAAAAGGAGGGATACAATGCATCTTGCCGGCGACGGGGCTAGCTGGTAGGATGGGATTAGGGCATAGCAGCAATGGAGATGGTGGCTCCGTTGTGATGAGTCTTGCCGGAGTAGGGTTAAGGGGGAGTGCTTAGGTGTTCTGGGTGGGTCAAGCATGACCAGTGCGGGAAGGGAGCTAGACAACTTGAAGCCATGGCTGCGGTGGTGTTTAGCGGATCGTTTGACAACGGACTAATACCATCATATCCAAGGGTTCATGGCTGGCTGATGCTAGAACGACGCTGACCAGAGCTGGTGTTTGGTTGTGCTGCCCTGTAACCTGAGTGAAGCGGGGGTTCGAGGCCAGGTAGAGAGATCTAGGGAATTGCCAAGGGTGGAAGGTATTCCAGTGGCTAACCGTGAGCTGTTGCTAGGATGACGCCAGTCGGAGTTGGGGCGGGTCGCGTTGCCGTGTAACCCAGCGGTTGTGGATGTGAGGCCTGGTAGAGATTGGCATCTAGGATTGGGGCGTTGAGGCAGTTGTAGGTCGGTCTATTGAATAGCACTGGGGTAATGTGGTTTTCTTGATGTTGGCTCCCGAATAATCTTAGTTGATTCTCACTCCTTTTTTAAGCAAAGTCTGCTGCTCTCGGTTGGGGCTCCTAGCAAATCACTGTAGGCTGTTCTGATGTTGTTATGTTCATGGATCTGTGGCTGTCCGATGCCAGAACGACGCTGGTCGGTGCTGGGGTGTTTCCCTGTAGCCTGTTGATAGCAGGAGCATGAGGCCTGGTAGAGAGATCTGGGGATGCTTTGGGATGGGCATTCCAAGGGACAACCAAGGGTTACTGTCGGGACGACGCTGGCCGGAGCTGGGGTGAGTCGTGTTGCCTTGTAACCTAGCAGGGTGGGGGTGTGAGGCCTGGAAGAGCCCGACAGTGAATAAACACAGGGTTGGAGGGTCGTGGAGGGTTTTGTTTGGGGTCCCTGGAGGCTTTGAGTATTTTGAGAACTTCTGTGGTGCTCCGTCTGTGACTAGGGTAATTGCCCCGGTATCTCAATTGTTTTGCATACGATTCCTAATAGTGAAATCACACTTCTGATTATTCAACTTGTCATGTATGCAAACAGCGAAACAGCAACTGGCGACATGCGCCCACACMRTWCTCAAGATAWYGTAACCAGATATGAGTTCTCTTCAACTGGCTATGGCGACTGGGCGCCCACACAACTCACTGTTCGCACTCTGGATCACCCTGGATGTCCCACACGCAACACTCAGTAT